TTGATTCTTGATGGTTCGAGAATCATACAGAAGTTGTATACCCCAGACATGTGAAAACAGTCACATTCGGGAAATTGAAAAAAAAGTACAGAAAGCGGGATACAATTGCACGTAACCTGCCTTAGCAGAAAATACGAAAGAAGTTCTATAAGACAGCATTGCAAAGATTACCGTCTTCCGTTGAGACTGCGGCAAATTAATTTCGGAAGAAGAAATTCGGAGAAATATTTTAGAAGCAATAATAACAGAAGAAAAGCGTATGAGGAGAGGAGACCTAACAGCTGTGGTGCACTAGAGTCAGTTAATTCTGATTCGCTCGTTGTGGAGTTTTTTGCCTCTTATCAAATCAGTATTTGCGCCACGACTCAAACGTTTTCTGATCCTCACAAAAATACCGAGGGAAGCAACTGCACCAAGTGTGATCCCTTTCGTGATCACAGGTGATTTGCGACTTTGAGATTGTAGTTCCCCGCCGTTGCCGGTCCCAAGCTCGGATAAGAAAGGAAGAGGGTTAGATACCGCAGCAAGTCTCCGTAAAATTTAGCCACCTGCTACTCGTGGTATCGACGCCATCGAAAATTATACCGGCTCGCTCGTCGCCCGGGTTACAAAGGGCCGCGCAGGCTGTTGGGGTACTGAGGCAGACTGCGAAAAGTCGGCGATCAGAACCTGCTCCTCGCCGTTTGACAGAAGGGTATTGTAGCAGTGCAACAACGGCTGACGAAGGCAGACGGAACGACGCCGAAGATGCCAGTCAGCAACGGAGTCGCTACCCTTTCTGAACGAAGGAGACAGACAGCGCGATGCCATTATAGCACGTCAGAAAAGGCTCCACGAAAACGACACCACCAGTCGGAGCTTAAAGTCGGCAGTTGGAACATATCCTCACTCAGAGGAAAAGAGAAAGAACTAGTTATTGAGGCCATAAAGTCCTAACTCGAAATTGTTGTACTGTCGTCAGCCAAACGTCTTGGCTCTGGACTCCTAAACCTCAATGGATAGAAACTGTTCTACCCAAGCTTCGATATCACGACTCGCGCTCAGGCCGGTATTCGCGTTCTCGTAGAACCCACCTTTCCGACAGAGTATTCAATTTGAAGCCTGTCAGCGGAAGAATGGTAATCCTCCGACTGAAGCTACAACAGGCTAAATCGATGACCTAGGTACAGGTCTATGCGCCCAATTTGGAAGGAGAATATGAGACCTTCCTTGATGAAGTGCAGTATGCTCTGTCCGAAGTGCCGAATACAGAGTCCCTCATAAAGATGTTCGATTTTAATGCGCCCGTCGGAGTAGACGTTGAAAAGTGGAACGGCGTGATTGGGAAAAACGGC